TGCAATAGTCTCGGGGCCCTTGGAAGGGTATGTGTGTGTTTGTGTGTGGTGCGCACATGCAAGTCTCGGGCTCTTGGAAGGGTGTGTGGGTGGGTGTGGGTGTGGTATGCGCATGCAATAGTCTCGGGGCCCTTGGAAGGGTGTGTGTGTGTGTGTGGTGCGCACATGCAATAGGGTCCTTGAAAGGGGGTATGTGTGTGTGTGTGTGTGTGTTATGCGCATGCAATAGTCTTTGGGCCTTGGAAGAACTTGTGTGTGGGTGTGTGTTTGTACGGACATGCAGTAGGGTCCTTGAAAGGATGTGTGTGTGTGGTAATGCACATGCAATAGTCTCGGGCCCTTGGAAGGGTGTGTGTGTGTGTGTGTGTGTTGTGTGCACATGCAATAGTCTCTGGGGCCTTGGAAGACTGTGTGTGTTGTGCACACAAGCAATAGTTTGGGACCCTTGGAAGGATGTGTGTGTGTGTGTGTGTTTTGTATGCACATGAAATTGTCTCGGGCCCTTGGAAGGCTTTGCGTGTGTGTATGTATGTGATTGCACCACCCCGCCGCCTCCAGAGCTTGCGGAGATTTTGCAGATGGGCGCAAGGCATCCAACTGGAGAATCCAACCTTCCTTCTTGGGTGGGTAGGAGGCAGTGGGCGTGCACGCACATGCCTGTATATATTGGAGTGCTGTGTGCACGGGACCTTCCCCAACTACAACCCCCATAGCCCCCAGCCCCTCGGTCTTTCCCTGCCCTTCTGGATTGCTCAGGTCATTCTCAAAAACATTTTTTCCCCCTTGCTGATCCACAAGGCTCTCTTTATTTTTCTCTGGCCAGAGAAATTTTGAGAGCAGGGTCCCCCAAAACTTGGCAACTTTAAGCCTTGTGGACTTCAACTCCCAGAATTGAAATCCACAAGTCTTAAAAGTTGCCAAGTTTGGAGACTTCTGACTTAAGAGGGTCAGTCCAGCTGCCGAATTTCACATCATCCCAGCTTCTCAAGCAAACTTCCTAGCTTTCCCCCCCCCCCGCCCCTCCCCAAATAAAAGAGGTATCCTAGTTGGACCTGCTTCCTGAACCCCTCCCCAATTGGAGGAAACCTTCTGTCTCTGGTCCATCGGAAAGATGTGGCTGTTTCCAATCGCCTGCACGAATCCATCTTCATATTTCTGAGAGAATTTGGTGTAGGAAGAAAAAGCGCAGAGAATGAACTGAGCAAGGAGGGCAAGGCAATTACTCACTGCTCCTGAGCATATGCAGAGCGGCTGCCAAGTCCTTGTTCCTCCGGAAGACGCAGCTGCTTTCAACAGGCAACCTTCTACTTTCCCTGAATGTTTCATGTAGCTGTCTCTCAATGCTATGATTTACTCCCTCTCTTTCCCCAAATCCTGGTTTCTTCACCTCACAGGCCGAGGACAAGGAGATAATCCTGTGTGCCATCCGGACATGCAGCCGCCTCTTCGGAGCTTTACTCACACGGGGCGAACTCTTTGTGGGCAAACTTCCCCCTGAGGAAGACTCTGTCCAAGGTAAGAGGATGCCTTGGTAGGAAAGAGCTGTGGGTGTGGTAAACGGGACACGGGTCTGACTAAGAGTAGGGAAATTTTAGGCCGTTCGCGAGCATGGGTGATATGGCAACAGTTGAGCATCTTTCCTGGTTTATCAGGAAGATGCGGCTGCTTTCAATGGAATTTTCCCCCTGGTTTGGGGGTGTTTTTTCGCAGCAATCCTTTGGGGTAGTTTTTAAGGCTGTGCGTGCCTCAGATTTTATTTGGCAAAAGTTGCTTTGGGGTTGAGGTGAGCACAGCCGCTATGGGTTCATTAAAGCAGCTGGGTCTCTCTTTTTTTTCTTCCTGGAGGGTTGGGTTTTTTTTTGCAGTTCTAGACGTTTTCTTAAGCAGACCTTTTGGGATAGTTTTAAGGCTGTGCATGCTTCAAATATTACTTAACAAGAAGTGCTTTGGACCTCTGTTGAGCACAGCCCTTCTGGGTTCATTAAAGCAGCTGCATCTTTCTTAAAGGATTCGATACGAGAGGTACAGGGCTCTCCTGAATCGACTCATTTAAACAATGTTGGTTGCAATTTTGTGAGGCAGCTTATTCGTGGCTGGGTTTATACCGAATATATATGGTAGTTGATGACCTCACAGCTTCACTTCATCTTTCTCCGGTCCATGCCTTGCTTTGTTTTAGGAAATTACAGCGCAGAAGAGAAATATAAAATTTGGATGAGACATCGCTACAACAGCTGTACCACTTGTCTGGGGGAACTGATGGCACACGAAGCTTTCCAGGTCAAAGTGAGTTTGTCAAAAAGCCAGCTTTTCATTTCATGAATCTTAACCACTGTGCCACCGAGGCTCTACATTCTAATTTTCTAAGACCAAAGGCCACAAAATTCTGGGTCTGGCGCAGTTCAGCATGTACTGCACAATTTCTTCCCTAGCAAATATTTATTTTATTTTACTGTGTCCAACTCTTGTCCCGAAAGGGTTCTCTTCCCCCAAGAAGCATAACTATATAAAGTCAATTTACTTTGGCTTTTGCTGTAATTCCGCCATTGTCTCTCTTCGCCCCAAATCAACACCTTCAATCAATGAACTAATTTTCCCCCATTGCGTTCAAGGTGTGTTTTTCAAACTTGGCAACTTGAAGAGGGGTGGACCTCAACTCCCAGAATTCCCCAGCCCCCTTAGAGTAAACCAACTTTGAAAAACACTAACTTAGTGCAATGGGGCCTGTTCTATTCCTGCTTAGCAACTTTTGTGCATTTAGCTAGCTGAGTCTTATTCTGCAAATCACAGTGAAACAGTGGCTTAGTACTTCTCAGCTTCCTTTTCTGACCTAGGCTTCCGAAAATCCCGAAGCAGACTCCTCGTCCTGACAGAACCCCTTTTATTTAGGCTAATGTGAATTCCTCTCATTCACATCCAGCAAAATCCCGGCAAACAGTCTTTCAAGAGTGATTTACAATCACAGACCTGATCAGGCTTGGAGAGCTGCCAGGCCAATAACTCCCAAGCGCGATGATGTAAGCAGAAAATACTTGGCAAGGAGTCAGGAGCAAATCTTCACCCTCATTAAATGAACTAATTGTCTCCTGCAAAGCCCACTCCCCTTTCGCTCCTCTTTATTCCCTATGGGAGGGGGCCATTCACCATCCACCTGAGCCTTTACTCCCAAGTAGAACCTTGTTCCCTAGCTGTTCCCTTCTTCTGGCAGCTCTGTGTATGCGCACACTGGGAACAGGCTCCAGCTGTTCTTCTGCCCCACTGCTGTCCGATTCCGAAGGCAGCTGATAACGGTCAGACGGCCTTGGCCCCATCTCTGCCTCCGATGCAGAGCCTTCCCCAGACTCCAGGACTGGCCCTCCCCAACCTCCTCACTGCTCCAAGTTCTGCCGCCAGCAGGCCACACCACCACCAAAGTGTTAAAAACGCAAGATTTTTGAAGAATATTTTGCAGGAGAGGAAAAAAAAAACTGGACTTAATATTCAACATCTCTCTTGCTCTTCTGTTTTGCCTGTTGTCCGTTTTTGGTGGAAGGAAATGGCTCTTTGTACTCTGATGAAATTTGTTGAATTGGAAGCTAAACACCCTTTGGTCAAGAACGAATGGAGTTTCAATTTCCCGCGGGAGCTTTTACAAGTAAGTCGTATGAATTCTGATACGGTCATTCTGTGCTTATCTTCCGCTTTGATTCCTGTTGTCCGAATTAGAATGTGCGACGACCCGGAATAATACAAGTAGAGTCCTCAACTTACAACAGTCCATTTAGTGATGCTTCACAGTTGCAAGGGCACTGAAAAAATGTGACCGATGAGCATTTTTTACCCTTACGACTATTGTGGCATCTCCGTGGCCACATGATCAAAATTTGGATGCATAGTATCTGACTCGTATTTAGGACCATCGTAGTGTCCTTGGGGGGGCGTCACATGATCTTTTGCGGCCTTCAAACCAGCAAAGTCAATGGGAAAGCCAGATTTGTTTAACAACAGTGTTACTAATGTAACAACAGCAGTGATTCACTTAACGACGGTGGCAAGAAAAGAGGTAAAATGGGGTAAAATTCACTGAAATGTCTCACTGAACAACAGAAAACTTGGGCCCAATTGTAGTTGTAAGTCGAGGACTATCTGTAGTAGAATTTTTCTTGATTCAACATTCGGTTCCATTTCTTCTTCCTCTCTCCTCTCTCTCCCCATTCTGAGAAAATTAGCAACTTTGAGGATCCTGAATGGGTGAAATCTCCCCCAGATTCTTTGTTGTACTTCTCCAAACTTGTGTGGGGTTTCTCCCTTCTGAGAGAGAGAATTTAAATCTCCCAGGAAAGGCGTGACAGTGTAAGCATCTGGCTCTCCCTTCTAACTCAAGAAAGGAAAACTTAAGTTTGAAACTTAAGTATTTCAAAAGGAACCTTTTATTGAGCAGAAGTGAAAGCAGGACAATCAAAGCAGACTCTGAATTCCCTTAAGCCAGTGGTCCCCAACCTTTTTTGTACCAGGGACCAGTTTCACGATTATTAATTCTTTGTGGCCTTGGTACAAAATGATCCACGGACCGGTACCGACATCAGCACGCACGACCAAGGCGAGCCGAGCAACCGGCCAGCCAGCCGTCCCCCGCTTCTCCCTGCCACCTTCAACTCCTCCTTTGTACCTTCTCGCCTGGGCTCTTTCTTAATAACCTCCTGAGTAACGTGAGACTCCACTGCCATCAGGACGGCTCTTCGTTTGAAGCTGCCTCCCCCTTCGACAAAACTAAGGCCTGAGGATTCCTTCAGCACCCAAACGCCGCTTGACAACTGACAAACTCACCCGGAAGCACTTTCTCAAACGCCATCGAAACAAGATGGCGGCGCCCAAGCAAAGTAGGCCCTACTTTCATTCTTTGCGGCCTGGTACAAAATGATCCACAGATCGGTACCGGTCAATACAATTAGAATTAAGGTAGTAGAGACCCTCTCCTTCCAGTCCGATGTGGATTCAGCCAATCCACAGGTGTGAAGATGTTATTGTAACCGGCTGCCCTGAGAACCAGATAAGCAGACATTCCCACGGCCATCTTCTGCTGGCTTTCAGAGTGAAACAACCCACATGGCCCTCCCCCCTTAATACATTCCCTAATAGGTGAGAAAATCTCAGGACGCTCAGGTGCCATGATACAAGCTATAAAATTGCAGTTGCCAAAAGCAATAGGAAAGGATTACATTTGAATCGTCCCCCGTCCCTCCCACTTTTCTCCCAATTGAATGGCAGTATCACAGTAATGCAAATGGGACCGATTCTGCCTCTTAATTCTCTTTGCCTCCTTTTCAGGTAGTGGTGGAGGGTCTAATCCAGACTGATCAGAATTCCTCGCTCCTAATCTCGCGTTTCCAGGAATACATGGAACACGATGACGTCCGGTTCTTTGTGATGAAGGCGGTGGCTGAAAACCTGGGCACCGTGATGCCTAAGGCCAAACAGGTAACCTCGACGTCCTGGCTGAGAGCGGAACTCCGTTTTATATATTTCTTTTTTGAGGTCAGATCTTCGGAGTCAATACCACTGCAGCCAGTTCTTTTCTGTCTCCCAGGACTTCCTCAACACCGAGGTTGAAGGCAGGCAGACTATCCCTACTAAAATGAAACCTCTATTGCCATCCCCTCCTCCTCCTCCTCCTCCACAAACCTCACTCTAGCACTGATGATGTGACCTAATTGGGTGTGATGACCCAGGGTGGGATACAAAATAAGCAGTCACAAAAAACAGGTGAAGCCCCTTTTATTCCTTCACTTTGCTTCAAAGCTCCAAATATCCTTGGTGGAAGACAAAAAAAACTCCCCCACAAGCAGTTATGAAAAGGAAGAAATGTCTATAAATTAAATTAAAAAAATGCCTATAAATTATAGAGTAAAAACAACACAAACCACACTGAAGCAATTAACTGTTTTAAAATCAAAGGAACAGAAAAAGGGAATTAAAATAGGAGGAGGAGGTGGGATGAGTTTTACTCGTGCGGAAATGGCAAAATAAAAGTAATTTTCAAAATAAGAGAATTGCATCATATTTTGTATGTTTTTAGAGGTTATGGGAGAAAAAGCGTCTTGTATATATATCTGGTTCTTGCCGCAAAACGATTAAAATATCTGCAGTTTTATAATCTGTTTTTCCTTTCCACAGGCTCCTTTTCCGATTTACCAAAAGAATGCCTTCACTCTCATTTCATCCATCATCATGCCGAGTGAAGAAAGCGAGATAAAAAAATTTCTAGTGAATAACGGTGAGTGAAATTTCCTGGCTTCTTGCATCTGTGTGTCAGCCCAGAATTATGATCTTGACAGATGTGCCAAGACTGAACTCGGCTTATTCGTGGTTAAGCAATCCATCAGGTCCAAATGATCTAAATCTAAATGATTAAAGTCTAAATTATTCCAAAACTTTGGGAGGAAACTTTTCAAAGGTTGTCTCGATTCTCACTGCTGTTTTTTGTTTTTATTTTTCATTGGGACTCTCTCTCTCTCTCTCTCTCTCTCAACAGCTAATCAGGAGGAATGGAAAGTGTCCAAACTAAAGGTAGATCTTTTTAATGAGATTATTCGTTGTTGCTCTTCTGTTATCCTTGTTTAAGGCAAATATCAAGGGTGGGCTTGTGTTGCATTTCTGGGGAATGTCATTGAAGAGGTGATACAACAGGGTAGGCCAGAAAATAAGGACCAACCTTACCAGGTTGTGGGAAGTCAAGTTGCTGGGCCTGGCATGGTAGCCTCCGGAAACATCTCAAGAACTTGGATGTATTTGAATGTAAATGTGGAGGAATTTTTGCGGGAACGATGAAATAAGAATATGTAGTGAAACTGTAAACAGGACAGATCAAAGTATAAGTATAATGACCATGAAAATATGTAAATTTTGAAAAGGAAATGAAATAGATCCGGAAATGAATGAGAAAACTATAAAATAAGCCCGGGGGAGGTATTTGAGAAAAAGCAAATAGAGAATATATAAAGTAGTGATAAGCAATGGAATATGAAAGATGAATATGTAACTGAAATTATATCTGTATGGAGATGTGAAAGCCTGGAACCATGCTGTTCGCTAAAAAAGGATGTTCTATTTTTCTTTTTCTTTTGTGAAAACCCAAATAAAATTGTTTTTTTTTTTTTAAAAAAAGAACTTGGATGTGTTTTGACAGACACGCTTGGCTTTTCCCATTTAAGCCTGCACGATATGGTTCATTCTGAAGGCTGTTTCACTTCCTTTCAAATATTTTTATTGTACTTTTCCTTTGTTATACATCACATATTAAAATGTTAATATGTGAAGGATGCTTCACTTCTTTCTCCGTAACTTTTTTTTTTCTTCCCCCAGGAACACAGACGGGCTTTTGAGAGGATGTGGCTTGGATTCCTGAAATATAAGGTGTGGGGCATTGAGGAGTTCAAAGGTCTTGGTTGTGGAGTTAATGTCACACCTGAGTAGTAATTTCATCCATAAAAGTCTGGCCTGGAATGCACCTTAATCAGGAGAGATTAGAATATTTCAGGAAGGGAGGGAGGGAGGAAGACAGAGAGGAAGGAAAATGGAAAGGAAGGATGGAAAACAAGGAGAGGGGAAGGAAGAAAAAGAGGAGAAGGAGAATGGGGAGGAAGGGAAGGAAGGAAAGAAAGACGGAGAGGGGAAGGAAAAAAATGGGAGGGAGGGAAAAAAAGGAAGGAAAACGGGAAGGAAGGAAGGAAAATGGAGACGTGGGGAAGGAGGAAGAAAGAGACAGGGAGCGGGGAAGAAAGGAAAACGGAGAGGGGAGGGGAGGAAGGAAGGGAGAAGAAAGGAAAACGGAGAGAGGAAGGAAGGAAGGAAGACCCAACATCATTCAACCTTTGCATCAGGCCATCCTCGAAAAAAATATAGTTGATTGTAGCATCCATCTCCCTTACACAGCGTGTTCCCCTTTCTCTCTTTCCCTGTGTAGCTACCTGGAAGCCTGTACAAAAAAGTGCTGGTCATTCTACATGACTCCATCTTGCCCCACCTGAACGAGCCCACCCTTTTGATGGATTTCTTGACCGTGGCTTACGATGTTGGTGAGTCGGGGTGCCAAAGAATGTAGGGTTGACCTTGGAATTGAGGGAAGAAACGATGGCGCAAGAAAAGAGGGCCCGGTCTTGAGAAAGGATTGGGTGAACCTGTCGGCAACTACTAGCGTCACATCGGGTGGCTCCGAACGTCATCGGCAATTCTGCCGGGTCTCTCGATAAAATAGCTCTAACTCCCTTTTTAACTTAGGTTTCCTTCTTGAGCAGGGAGTTAGACTAGAAGATCTCTAAGGTCCCTTCCAACTTGGTTATTCTGTGATCCTTAACCTCGCTTTGTACATCTCTTTTAGGTGGAGCCATCAGCCTTCTTGCCTTGAATGGACTGTTTGTTTTGATTCTCCAACATAACCTGTAAGTGTCTTAACAAGTCCTAGAAAAAAATTATTTGTTCTTCAGCCAAAGGCTTTTAGTTCCCCCATTCACACATTACTCATTTAGCAACAGAAATTTTGGGTTCCATTGTGGTCGTCAGTCGAGGACTGCCTTTATTCTGAAAAGTTGGGAAGCGTCGGTTGGGAATGTTGAAAAACAACATTTCATTAATCTCTGTGTTGTTTTTGTTTTGTAGGGAATATCCAGATTTCTACACAAAACTCTACAGTCTTCTGGACCCCTCTATCTTCCACGTAAAATACCGCGCTCGGTTCTTCCGTTTGTTGGACTTGTTCTTGTCTTCGTCGTAAGTCAAGGTTTGATGCTTCACCCCAGACCTTCGTGTGCCGTTTCCCATCAGTATCCCATTAATAACCTAGGCGTAGAGTCTGTTTCCTTGATGGCATCTCCAGCCCAACCCCTGGGGGAAAAAAACCACCCACAATAAATGAGACCAGTGTCCCACATTTTTGTCCTTGTTTAGCGACTGCATTTGGGATAGGAAGTTCAGGTGTTCACTGAAGCGAAGTCTTAACTCTTGAGTGTGCTTACAACCAGACTTCCATTTTCCTTTTATAGACCTGCCAATGTCATCAGTGGAAGAGTTGGTCCTAAAATTACTTTTATTTCCCGTTGCTATTGTGGGAAGTTGCTAAACAAGGCAGTCGCTAAACAAGGACTAACTACAATGCCTTTATCATTCAGGACTGACCTCTCTAAACAGAAAGGGTGTTTTTAAGGAACATTATGTTAGCATTGTGGAGTTGGGTGGGTTATGGGTAAAACACTCTTAGCGTCCATGTCTCTTCTAATGGTGAGGTCCTTGGTGCTCTCTGAGCTTGGCTGTTTTCTTGCAGACGTTTCATGACCCAACTAGGTAACATCATCAGTGCCAGAAAGGGGTGGGGTTTATTCTCTATTTACATACTAGTGGTTTGCCCTGTCAATGTTGGTAGGGAATGTACTTGGTAGTTTCTTGATTAGGATGTTTGCTGTTAGCTTGGTTGCCTGTGTTGGCAACCAGTTGGGATATTGGTGTATTGTATTGGGGTATAAACAGAGCAAAGCCCACTCCCTTCTAATACTGATGATGTTCCCTAGTGGGATCATGAAACTTTTGCAAGAAAACAACCAAGCTCAGAGAGCACCAAAGACTCCACAGTCATCCTCCTCCTACCCTTCCTTCTCCTTCTCCTCCCTGCAAACTTTCCTCCCTCCCTTCTAACAACTGAGGGCGTTACCTAGTTTGGTCATGAAATGTCTGCTAGAAAGCCACCGTGTCTTCAGGAAAACAACAAACCAAGAGTACCAAGGACTGTACAGTTCAACCCCAAGCTACAAAAATTCCCTTTTCTTAGTCTCTTCTATTCCCAACAGGCACTTGCCGGCATATCTGGTGGCAGCCTTTGCCAAACGCCTCTCCCGCCCGGCGCTCACCACCCCGCCTGATGGTTTGCTGATTGTCATTCCGTTCATCTGTAACCTCTTGAGGAGGCATCCATCCTGCCTGGTGCTCATCCACAGGCCCAACGGCCCAGCAGGTGAGGGAGCTCAGAAAGGCTGCGTTTTCACCCGCTTGGTTGAGGTTGACTTAAACTTTGAGGAGGAAGGCTGAAAAAAGCCGCAAATGTGTACATACAACCTGGATTGTATCTCCTCAAGGATCTGCTGAAGACACCGGAGAACATCTGGCTGGGCTTTGCTCCAGTTTGGCTTGTTCAATGCACAAAGCAGTCACATCAAGTTCTTTGTGATGCTTTTTTTTTCTAGCCCAGCCGATCCCCACAATATCGGTTCATGAAGAGGGTTTCCTTAGTGATGGGGGTTGGAGGAGAAACATCTACCCTTTCTTGGGACCATGGAATGCAAGGAGAAGACCTGACACCCCAGAGCTACAAAGCTGTCATAGCAATAGCACTTAGACTTATATGCCACTTTGCAGTGCTTTTGTCAGGGCTCCGGTAGTTACCTCCATTTAAATCATGAGTCTCGAGCCAAACTTCCAAAACTTCAAAAGGATTTATTGGGAGTTAACATGCCAGCACTGTCTAGGTGCAGCCGATTCTGAGACATGTAATTCACCATCACCCTTGGCCCTGGTTTTCCCTCCCCCCCCTCTGTGTGTATCGTAATTCACATTCTCCAATGGGACACATCCATAGCCAAGAGTCCTCAATCATGCTCTCCAGTTAGAATTTTGCGCGGCAGAAACTTCAGTTGCCTAGAAACTATCTTTGAAAACATTTATGGAATGCAAGCTGCCCGGCTGCTTTCCTCTCCCTTTCTGTTGGCAACTCTAAAAGACCGCAGAAATATTTTATGAGTTGACAGCTTTACAACCCTGTAACCTCAGAAGGATGGAAGGCCGAGTCAACCTTGAGCCTGGTGATGTATTTAAACTACCAAATTGCAGTCAGTCGGGAGTCAGCAGAAGTAGCCTGCAGTACTGCACTCTAACCACTGCGCCACCGTGGCGCATGGATGGCTTATTCTTTCCTTTATCTTCTTTAGAGATGCCAGATGATCCTTATAAGATGGATGAAAAGGACCCCTTGGAAAGCAGGGCTATGGAGAGTTCCTTGTGGGAAATAAAGGTAGGTTTTTCATCTAAGACAACCTTAAACATTCAAAAGAGCCACAAAGGTCCTAACCAGAAGCCCCCCATTCAGTTCTGGAGGCAACCATAAGTTCGGTTCCCCCACCATAGAGTCCTCCTAGCGTAGCATCCTTATGTCGACCGGAAGTTCGGTTCCCCAACCATAGAGTCTTCCCCCTAGCACAGCGCCCTTTTTCCTCCACCTCTCCTAACCGAACACCCTATCAATTGTGGAGCCAACCGGTGACCGGGAGCCAAAGCAGAGGGATGAAAGAGCCACATGCAGCTCCAGAGCTGCGGGTTGCTGACCCCTGATCTAAGAAGAAGTTGGTGGAATTCTGGTATCAATCCATCAGGGAAGAAGACGGATTGTGTCATCCTAGTAATGACAATGTGATTAGAAAAATATTAGAATGTGCAGAAATGAATAGATTAACACTTGCAATTAAAGAGAAGGAACAAAGTGAATATTGTAAGATATGGGAACTATTTTATCGAAGGCTAGAGAAAAAATATGAAATCTAGAAATAGCTAATAGATTAGTGAAATATAGCAAAGAGGTTTATAGAACTAAACATGTCAAGAGGAGTGTTATAGTAATAGAGATATTGTGCATATTAATAATATAAACTGGGACTCGGGAGGCAGAGAATAGATGGGGGCGGGGCCAGTCAGAGGTGGTATTTGCCAGTTCTCCAAACTACTCCAAATTTCTGCTACCTGTTCTGACCCAAACCCTTTTTCAATAAAACAAACATGAACCAAAGGGAACAGAAACCTTTTAATGATTCTTACGAATCCCTGGTTAAAAGGCTACTGCAAACTAATTAACTTTGATAAGCACAAGCCTCGCCAAAATTCTGCGAAGCTGCGAAGAATAACAGATAAGAAATAGTTTACAGCACAAGAGTCTTCAAAAACCAACAAGATACTGCAGTGTCCACGAGGTTGGAGTTTCAAAACGTTTTTGCTTCCTGCAAAGAACGTTCGCTTCACAGGCTGGCTTTTATCTTCTTGAAGGAGGGGCCATTACCTTGCAGCTTTACTCCCGAGTCGCCCGTGCTGCTGCAGCTGCTCTTTCCTACGAGCAGTCCTGTGCGCACACGCACTTGGCACAGGCTCCTCGGGAGCCTCCTCATCGCTGCTGCCAGCCCCCACAATCTCCGAATGCAGCACTCCACTCCCTAATGGTCCTGGCCCCTCATCTGAATCCTCGCTCTCCTCAACCGTCTTGCACCGGCTGCCAGCTAACCACAACACTACTGGTTCTCTAGAACCGGTCAGAACCGGCTGAATACCACCTCTGTTGGGGACCCCTGGTGTACCATAGCTGCGTTCCTAACGTAAGGATCCTGGAAGCATGGAGGGACTGTCTTTGGTGATGGAATGATAGCTATTTGTCAAGGCTTTAATAGATGTCAGGCAACCGTGTCTTTCTTTTTGGGGGGTTCTGTAGACATTGCAGAACCATTATCATCCTGACGTCGCTAAAGCTGCGGAAGAAATTAACCTGCCTCTCTCCCAGATGGAACAGGATTTGTCCAAGATCCTAGAGTTGACATCCTTTGAGGTAATGCTGTCCCTATAAAGCATGGGGACAATTTCTATCCCTTGGAAATCTCCCGTTGAGTAGTTGCCAGCAGTAGCCATGGCGGGCTGGGGAATTCTGGGAGTCAAAAGTCTTGAGATTCTAAAATGGATGGCCTTCCAGGTAAGGCGCGTCCGTCTGAATAGCAACAGCCCTTAGGACTTATATACCGCTTCACATATATCACAGCCCCTCTCTTAAGCGGTTCACAGAGTCAGCCTGTTGCCCCTCCCCCCCCCAAGGATCTGAGTCTTCGTTTGATCCACCTTGGAAGGAGGGAAGGCCGAGTCAACCTTGAGCCGGTGAGAATCGAACTGTTGGCCGAATTAGCCTGCAAGCCTGCCTCCTAACCACTGGTGCGTGGTGCGGTGGCTTTAGAGGTGGGGCTCTTGCCTCACAGTCGGGAGGCTGTGACTTCGATCCTAGGTAAAGGCAGATATTTCTCTCTCGGGGCATAATGAGCATTTATCTGCTGAATAAAATTCGGCGTCGGCGACAGGAAGGGCATCCGGCCAGTAAGCATTCTGCTAGCTCCATTCAGTTGACCAAGCTCCACTCCGCAAGGGATTATGGGGGTCTTTAAATGAAGATTCTAACCACTGCGCAACATGGAAGGAAGGAAGGAAAGAAAAGAGCAATAGCACTTAACTTATATACAACTTCACAGTGCTTACAGCCCTTTCTAAGTGCAACTATATATATATGTGTGTGTGTGTGTGTGTGTGTGTGTGTATATATATATGTATATATGTATATGTGTATATATATATATTTGTACAATGGCAGCTGAAGGATTGGTGTTGTTGTCTCAAAAGCAGTCTGGGAAATGTCAGACACAACCAAGCTGGTATTGATTGTTGGAGAAAAAAAGAAAAGAAACTCTGTGAGGGAACATGGAAAATAAATTGTTTTTTCTTCTCTCCCTCCCTCTTTCCCTCCCTCTTTCCCTCCCTCCCTCTCCACCCCCAAAGATATTTGATAGGGATATTAAGAAAGAATCGAAGGATGTTCCATTGGAATATCAGCAACCCCGAGGCCTCTTTGGAAAAAAAGACGATCTCTGCGCAGAATATTTTTCACTGGAATGACTGCAGGGGGTAACAGAACACAATAAATACCTTCTTTTTTAAAAAAAAAAAAAAGTCTAAAGTGTTATGCACTGCAATCCTTGATGCTCTTAAGATTGTGGGTGTATTTCTTCTTTTTTTTTAAGTTTAAAAAATACTTCATTTGAACACAAAAGATTAAAATATACAACTATACAAAAGTAAAAAAATATAAAGTCATACAAATAAACACATTCTATAGTAAAACTAATCATATTTTTCTCTAATACATTTTGATAGTGATTTAAATATCTCATAGAAAATATTAAATGGCAGTTACTTCCTATCCCTTGTAGAATAACTGTATTAATAATATATAATACATAATAATCTATTATTACTATTGGATTATAACTGTATTTTTATAGATAATAGCTTAGTCAAAGAGTGAGGGGAGTAAAATTAGCATTCTGTAGATTCCTAGCATATATATATATGATTATGGGTGTATTTCTTGACCGCTTGTTCCTTCACTTGTCAAGAGTTGGTTCTGGTTTGTTCTGGATTTCAGCATTGGCCAGCAGAGAGCAGCAACGAATGTCAGAAGTTTTAAGAAAAAAAGCAACAACAACATGGCTAATAGCAAGAAGGCAAATGACCAGGTAGTCCTCGCCTTAGGCCCTTAATGGACCTCAACATTTCTGTTGTTAAGCAAGACAGGTGTTAAGCGAATTTGGCCCCATTTTACATCCTTTCTTGCCACCGTCGTTAAGTGTAACACTGGATTTTAAGTGAATCTGGCTTCCCCGTGGACTTCACTTGTGAGATGGTTGGCAAAAGGGATCGCGTGACTTCCCAGACACTGTGACCGTCATAAATATGAACCAGTTGCCAAGCAATTTTGATCACGTGACCCATAGGGATGCCTCAGAGGCCGTAAGTGTGGAAAACGGTGATCGGTCTCTCTCTTCAGTGCCGTCGTTTCGAACAGTCACTGAATGAACTGTTGTAAGTCAGTGTAGAGTGGAGGGTTGGAGACCTGGTGTCAAGCATGGGGAAATCAGGAGATCCGGACAGTTCAAATGAAGGTAAAGGTTTAAGCTCTCTACAAGAATCTGATCTACTAAGGGTCAAGGCATGGAACACGGGCCAGTCGTGGAGCCTGGGATGCGTCGGAAGCAAAGATGGGCCCAGGGCCATCTGACGGTTATCAGCTGCCTTCGGAGTCGGACATCAGTGAGGCAGAAGAACAGCTGGAGCCTGTTCTCTGTGCGAATGCACAGAGCTACCAGGAGAAGGGAACAGCTAAGAAGGAATAAAGGTCGACTTGGGAGCAAAGCCACAGGTGGATGGTGAATAGCCCCTCCCACAGGGAATAAAAGAGGAGCGAAAGGGAAGTGGGGTTTTGCAGGAGACAATTAAGTTCATTTGGGTGAAGATCTGTTCCTCTTCAGCAGAAGTATTGTCTGCTACAGTGTGGCGTCTGAAAGATATCAGCACGGCAACTCTCCAAACCTGATAAAGATCTGTAATTGGGAAATCTCTTGAAAGACCGTTGGCCGGGAGGAATTCACTGTAAGCTAAATAAAAGGGGTTTATCGGGACGAAGAGTCTCTTCATTCTATTGGGGAAGCCCAGTTTTCAATATTCCTCTTGGGATATTTGCCAGAATCAGAGTCGTACCAATCCCTGGAGGTGTTTAAATTGAAGACCTCTGGAGTACCTTCATTCCCACCTTACTGGATCAGCCAGAAGTATATCAGAGAGAGGCCCTTCACACAACCAGTCCCTGTGCAATTAGACCGTTCCGTGGTTTTATGTCAGCTAGTCCCAGTTTTAATTCAAACACATCTTTGCCATTTGCTGTTTACATTTTTGCACCGCAGGCAACCATAAATAATGTTCGTACCAGGCCTGGCTGTATGCACGTTTGCAAAAAAAAAAAAAAATCTCCCATCCTATCAGGGTTTTTATTTCCCAGATTGCTGTTTAAGCTTAATAAAGTACCTTCCTCATTTTTGGAGAGGTTTTATCTCCTCTGGAATGAATAACCAGAAGACAACCTCTTGCACACACACACACGCGCGCAAAAAAGTCTGGGAAAGATCATGTATGCATTTAAATGGCTCATTCTCTTTTTTTTAGAAAAGGAGAAAGTATTTTGTTGCATGTAAATTAATAGCTCTTTTTTTTTTTTTACATTTATAATTAACACTGAAGAACAGATGGGATAACTTTCTTGTGAATCAATTCAGCCATAAAAATATCGTGAAATATGTGGAGCCCCCAGTGCTCCCTGACTAGGTAACATGATCAGTGCTAGTGAGTGTGGGGTTTGCTCCCTGTTTACATCCCCACCACCGACACTGGTAGGCAAGCTACTCTATATAACCTACTCTAGTTTTAGAGAGTCGTTTGAGGCCACTTGGAGGTTTATCTGGGTCACCTGAGCGGTGCCAATGGATGTGGAGCCTTCAAACTGTTGAAAGGATTGTTGTAGATTGGAGATAGATGATGTCTTATCCCTCCTGATGACAGATAAACCTCCAAGTGGCCTCAGTGCCTCTAAAACAATGCAAATGACCAGCTGTCTGCAAGGAGTATAAATCCTTCCATTCTCCACCAACCAGTCAGGAAAATGTACATAAAATGTTTTTGATGCACGCTCCTTGATCCACTCACTGGGCGAGTGCACACTTTCGATGCATGCTTACTTGATCCGCTAACATTTATGAGTCAGGAAAATGCAGCTTCAGATCTTGTGCTTTTTCCTTTGCATGCGAAGGCATCCGTTGAAATTTCTAATGCAAGTAATAAATTAAAATATATATATATATTAACTGATGCACTTGTGTTCCCATGGAATTTGGAGCGGAGCAACAGAACCCCGAAGGTCTTTGATGGTGCTCCAGACCTTCATTTTCATTTCAAACACCCCAACAGGATTTCTCGCCCTTTGCTTAAGACGGTTTTGAAAACAGGGAGGCCGGTAATCTAATCAATTTTCTTACCGACACAAATCTCTCTTATCTGTACTTACAGACTGTAATCCCATATTTACATAGAAAATACTGTTGTGGTAGCCAGCAATTCTATAATAGATAAGCTTTGGGGATCCAAGGGGGGAGGGAGAGAGAGAGAGAAAGAGAAACTGAATATTCTCATGTTTTCATAACATTGCCAACTCCAAATATTTGCAATATTAGCTCCGTGGGTTTGCAAAGGAGGGCAGTAAGAAATCTCTAGAAAGAAACAAGCATTTAAACATTGGAGGAGCACATTGTAAAATTCGAAAGAGATGTTTCATGATCTGGAGGGGAAAAGGTGAAAAATCCAGATGGATCCACCATCCAGAAAGGTGACTATGTTGAAACATTTGGTGAAATGGAGGAAGGCAGGAGAGGATTGTGTATATGAGTGTGTGTATGTGTGTGTCATGCCCCCATTGGAGCCTGAATCCGCAGAGGAGGATGAGCCTACGTAGATCGAGGGGGTGACATGAGGAGCGATGGAGCTCAGGCGATGAGGAAGGACTGCCCCCTCCTGATCCCTGAGCAAGGAGAGGGGAGAGAAGGAGGGAACAGTGCAGGATGACTCAACTTCTTGGGAGGAGAGCGCCTCACCCCACTTCACAAGGCACACCTCGGGACTGAGATTTAAGGAGATACGGGGGGGGGGGCGTTTGTCGGGAACAAATGCTGAATCTGTGGGGTTTTGTGTGCCGCTGCCAATGTCTGGCATTTTGCAGGGTTGCTTGCTTCTTCCTTGCTTCGCGGACTTGTTGCTTCTTCCTTGCTTTGTGGATTCGTTGCTTCTTCCTTGCTTCGTGGACTCGCTTCTTGCTTCGTGGACTTGTTGCTGCTTCCTTGCTTCGCGGACTCATTGCATCTTCCTTGCTTCGTGGACTCCTCTCCCTGTTCTTTTGCTTTGCTGGACTGTGCGCGGCCATATTTGTGTGTGTGCACTTTGCTTGTGGACTTGCCAAGAACGTGGGAGCGTTGGGGGAGGGGAAATTTGGAGCATTAAAGGAGAATTTGAACTCTCTGCTGGCTGTGTGGCCTTCGTGCCTCACATTGCATTTGTGAGACTGTTTAGACGCTGAGTTTGTCAATCAGAAAGGTTGGTGGTTCGAATCCCTAGCACCACATAACAGAGTGAGCTCCCGTCCCTTGTCCCAGCTTCTGCTAACCTAGCAGTTCGAAAGCATGTAAAAATGCAAGTAGAAAAATAGGCACCCCTTTGGTGGGAAGGTTACAGCGTGCCGTGCGTTTTTGCCATTTAGTCCTGCCAGCCACATGACCACGGAGACGTCTTCGGACAGCGCTGGCTCTTTGGCTTTGTAACAGAGATGAGCACCACCCCCTAGAGCTGGAAACGACTAGCACGGATGCGCGAGGGGAACCTTTACCTTTTTAAATACTTAAGATGTCCCCAGCGCGAACATCAAGAAAACATCTGTAGTAGAATTTAAAGAAACATTCCTACCGTTCCTGGAAGCCGAACGAGACATTACAGGCCGTTCTCAAGTTATGACCACAATTGGGACCAGAAATAAGCAAGGCGGCGCTAACCTCAGTCATGCTCGATTTTATGACCCATATTGTGAGAAGCCAAGTCAGTAAGAGAGTCAGGCATACACACCCAATCTAACGTTTCAAGCAATGAATTTTATAGAGTTAGGGGAAAAAAAGAAAGCCAGTTTGGTTTGTTGGTTAAGGGACCAGGTTAGAAACCAGGAGATGGTGAGTTCTAGTGCTGCTTTAGCCATGAAAACAAGCTGAGTGACTTAGGCTCAATCACATGCAGACTGGGAGTTCTAGTCCTGCCTTAGGCATGAAGGCAGATTGGGTGCCCTCGGGCCAATCCTTCTCTCTCATCCAAAAATCTGAGTTTAATTAATTAATCGGCACTCGGCCTTGTAATGATAACACAGCTGAAGATGTTTTTATTTGCAAAACACACAGGTCCGATGGTGCAAATTCACAGATTCTATCAAGGGACAGGTTTTGGCCCTATTTAGTGGGTATTATATTGTCATTTTTTTTTCTTTTTATCTTCCTCCCTCCCCCTTTTCTTTCTTTCTTCTCTCCCTTCCTCTTTTCTTTCTTTCTTCCCTCCCTCCCTCTTTTCTTTCTATCTTTCTTCCTCCCTCCCTCCCTCTTTTCTTTCCTCCCTCCCTTCTTTCTTTCTTCTTTTT